TTTTGAAATAAAAGCTGCTATAGATAAAACGAGACAATGATATTTATGGCTGACAATGGGTGAAGAAATATGAAATTATATAGAGTCATGTGATATTTGTCAAAGACAAGGTAAACCTAAACAAACTGAAGTATTATGACCTATTGGAGTAGAACAAGCTTTTAATCGATTAGGGATAGATATCATAGGTCCTTTGAAACCAACAACAATGAATAAAAAATATATAGTGGTAGCTACAGATTATTTTATCAAATAATTAGAAGTCAGAGCTATTGAAAAAGTAGATACGAAAACTATCGCTTGGTTTCTGTATAATGAAATTATATGTAGGCATAGCTGTCCAAGAGAAATGCTATCTGATAGAAAAGCAGTATTTGTTAATCAAACAGTTATTAACTTAATATAGATAATGGAAACTCATTATAGACTTATGTCTGCTTACCATTCTCAAAGTAATGGGCTAACAGAATAGTTTAATCAAACACTTTATAAAACTTTGAAGAAATCTGTAAAAGAAACAACACAAGAATAGGACACATTGATAGCTTCAGTACTTTTTGTATATCAGATAACTAAGAATAGAACAACAAAATATGAACTATTTTATTTACTATATAGATGAGTTCCCACATTACCCATAGAACTTGATATTATTACTTAGCCAATTGAAAAAATTAGTAAAAGACAATTTAAAGAAATGATTTGTAAGAGGACAAGCGAAGTTGCAGGAATATTTGAAGATAATCAAATTAATGCATTTAAGAATATCAAAGATACACAGAAATGGCAAAAGACAACTCATGATAGGAAAATTTAAACAATAACATACAATATTGGTAATATGGTACTAGAGTACAGATCTGATTTATAAAATATTCATGGTAATAAGTTTTATAACAAATGGTCTAGTCCTTTCTTTATTTATAGAGTTCTTGAAAATGGCATTTACATATTAAGAACTAATAGCGAAGAAGTTCTTAATAGTTGACTTGTACATGGCAATTGATTAAAATCTTATAAACAAAGGGGTTATCATCTCATGTGAAATAATAATATATATTAAGACTTGTTTAAAAGAATTTATAAGATTGCGAAAATTCCTAAAAATTTTTCAAAATTTTTCTTTTTAAGATGAATAAATTTTAATTTCAAATAGTTTACGGAAGAGAGTTTATGAATTATATAAAGAATTTTCGCAAACTTTAGGTGAAGTACAAATTATTATAGACAATACTGGTGTATACTTGATAACAAAAAATGTCATAACAGAAATTAATCAACTTGCTAATAATAAAATTATAATGCAGTATAACAATACATTAATGATTTTTGTGATGGATATTTTTATAGCCCTAGAAGAATCAGATCAAGCTATCGATCATGA